AGCTGTGTGATTAATGCTGTACATCTGGAGGTCAGCAGAACCAATCACCCATCTGACCAAAAGCCCTCTGTCTCTCGTCTCCATTATCTATACATCTCTGTGGTCTGATGTTCAAACAGATTTCAGTACTTCAATAGGTTGGTATATTAACATTATATCAGTTATGAAATTACGGTATTTAACTGTAAATTTAAGTTAAAACCGTAAAACCTAAAGCGTTGCTACCGTATTTTTTACGGTAAAATTCCGGCAACCACAGCTGCCGGTTTTTTACCGTAAATTTTATGGGATTTTTTTTACAGTGTACAGTAAATAATTATTTTTCAAAGCTGTAAATTAAACAAAGATTATTGGAGTATGTTTCACAAGAAAAAAAAACATTCTACTTTAAAATTTCACATTTAATTCATTTTGTTACTTGCCGTTTATTTGTAATTATTAAACTACCATTTTCACTCAGGAATTGCTAGTGAATAGCACAGAGTAAATCCTACACCAAATTAACACTGGCATTTACTCATCCTTACATTGTTCCAAGTCCACACAAAAGTAGAATTTTGTATAGAATTTCTTCGTAGCTCAAAGTGACCACGTTTGTCAACATCCATAAAAAAGCCCATAATGCTCTTTATTCTGAGTCTTCAGTTTATGAGGAACAGGCCGAAATTTAAGGCATTATTCACTGAAATTAGATTATGAAGACTTTCAACAACAGTAATATTTCACCCCAAAATTAAAAGAAATATGTCATTTGATGCATTATGACATTATCTTCATGATAAATAAGCAGAACGATTGTTATTATTGTTCTTATAGTGCTAAAAATAATGATATATTATTTAATTGTAATTTTAAGTATTTATACTTTAGACTGATAGCTTTTTTAAAATATATATATTTTTTAAAGTATTTTTACTATGAAAAATAGGTTTTAAATCCATGCTTATTTGCATTTAAAAAAAACACTGAATTATGGAAATCTGCTATTAACAACCACCATTTTTACAAAAAGTTAAATATGAGGGAACATTACAGTGGTGAGAATTTTATAAAAATAAAAATAAATAAAAAACGGTGGTCACAATGTCAAAAAATTCAGTGGTCCTAAAAAATAAGCTTCTGATATTCTTGATATACAATATAATTTCACATTTTTATATATTGAGATTTTGAGAAGAAATATTTGACATAAGTTTATATTTTGACCTGGACATGTGTTTAGTTTTTTCCCACACAGGGGAGGTGAGAGGTTGTCTGTTCAGTATAAGTCTGAAGAAACCACAGTCACTGATGGTTCTTTTCAGTTGTGTGGGAAAATGAAACATTGACGTAATATTCATGTGTAACCATGGAAACCTGCTGTATTACAGGATTCTGTGCTTAGGCGTTGAACAGGACGGGTCACGTTTGTAGGAGGGTGTGTGGAGCTCTCTCTGTATTTATTTCTCTCTCTCTCTTTCTGTCTTCTCTATGAATAGCTGCATATCAAACCCTGCTGGTTGACCATCTTTGACTTTAGCTGGCTGCACAAACATCAACAAAGTCAAAAAATTTACAATTTTTATGTATTTCTGTAATTCATGATTTTTACAAAAACATAAGTTTCTTTATGTAATCTTTTCATTTTCTTCAAGAAACGTTCCAGCTATACTATGTCTTATTTGCTGAAAGTCTTGTTTGTATTAAGATCGTTTCAGTCAGTGGCCAGCTTACTGAGCTGTTTCCTTGGTCACAGATAGCCGGCAGGAAAAAGCGTGAAAAAGAATCCTTACACACACACGCACACTCCCCAGCGATGGCATATGGAGGAGATGTACTGCATATTTCAGTCTGAAACATCTAACCTACATTTGATCTGCTAGTGTGTGTGTGTGTGTGTGTGTGTGTGTGTGTGGAGGAGGAGGTCACAGCTATTCCCACACACTGTATTTATGAATATGTGTGGAAGGAGACGGCATTCCTGCATTACGTGTCTGTAGGCACTAGAATCATATTTATTCAGTTTATATTTTAATTTAGTGACATTCATTGGCATTTCCACATACAGAAGTCATGTCTGTTTTTCCATTCATAGAAGAAGTGTATTGATGCTAGCCATTTGTATTCGGTTTATATTTTGTTTTTGTGATGTCCGTCAGTTTAATTTTTGTTAATTTTACTTGATTGTGTATATTTACTGTATATTTTACAGTGTGATTTATATCTCCAAATTATGACTTTATTTCTTGCAATTGTAACATTACTGTATATCACACAATGCCACTTTATCTTTCATAAATGTGACTTTATTTAGCATAATTGTGAGTTTATATTGCACAATGTGATTTTATATTTCACAAATGTGACTTTATTTAGCATAATTGTGAGTTTATATTGCACAATGTGATTTTATATCTCCAAGTTGTGATTATTTTTTTTTATCATTTATATCTCTTTATATCTCATGATTGTGACTTTATTTCTTGTAATTGTGTCTTTATAGCTCACAATGTCACTGTATATTTAATTTATTGTAACACTATATCTCCCAATATCACTTTATCTTTCATAATTGCTATTTTCTTTAGCATAACTGTAACTTTACATTTCACAATGTGATTTTATATCTACAAATTGTAATTTTTTTTTTCTTTTTTTTTTTATTGTAACTTTATATCTCGTAATTGCAACTTTATTTCTGGTAATTGTAACTTTATATCTCACAATGTCACTTCATATTTCACAATTTTGCCTTAATTGTGACTGAATATTTTGCAATGTGACTTTATATTTCCAAATTGTGACTTTATTGCTCATAATTGTGACTCTGTTTTTTATTATTGTGACTTTATGTTTCGTAATTGCAAATTTATTTAATATACTGTGATTGTGACTGTGAATTATATTTCACAGTGCGACTTTGTTTCTTGTAATTGTGACTTCTCATAATTGTGACTTTATATCACAATGTGACTATATATCTCACACTGTGATTATATTTCTTATCTAAGGGTTGAAACAGGCTTCTATAAAATATGAAAAATATGTCAGGCTGATTCAGGCTTAACAGAGAATATTTTATCAGCCTGTATCTTTACTTGATACTGTACACCTCTCTTTAAACAGTATATGTCCCAGCACAGCAGGTTATTATATGTAATGTAGCAATAAAACTTATAGTTAATGAAATCTCTCACGTCTGAACTATCATAATGGATGGGATCATTAGACATCAGTAAATCTCCAACCTAATGTTTTATTCACTAAAATCAACATACTGTATATGTCCCATCTTCATAATTCACAGCCCATTTTTGGTTCATAAATGACTATTGCACTGCCGCAATCCCTTAATGATAAAGACCCAAATGCACCCAAACGTGAGATTAAAGAGATTCAGGCTAAATTCAGACTAAAGGGGTGTTCTAATTTAATTGACAGCTTCATGCAATACGTGTAAAATTATCTGTTCTGTCAGCTCCATCTGAATCCATTAAAGAGCATGAAGAAAAAAGAGGCCCAGCGGGAGGGTAGAATTTAGACTGACTCATACACACTCACACAGTTCCTCCCCGCCTACAATAAATCAGCACACACACACACCGTGACTCTCTCCATCCACTACACACACGCTTTCCTCAATTTCCTACTACCCCCTGCAACTGCACAGCAGCACATACACATACTGTACAGCATAAGGCACTTACACTCACCTACTCACACACATACCGCACACACAGAGAGCAGAGCAAAGAGACAAGCACTAGTAGAGCCCGAGAGTGGACAGTGTGTGTGTCTGTGTGTGTGTGTGTGTGTGTGTGTGTGTGTTTGTGTGTGTGTGTGTGTGTTAAAACAGCTTAAGTGTGAACTGTTTTTGACTTAAGAAGTCAAAACCAAAAATGTGAACCATCTCCTGCAGCACTTTAACAAGAACATGCATTTATTAGCAGAAAATCACAGCTCTTTTAATACTATAAATACTGAACTACACTGAATGTAAGATTCTGTTTTGTCAAACCCTAAAAGTATTGTGGCAGTACCATGGTTTAGTAATGGTATCAAGAAATACAATAGTACTTGGGTACCATTTGTATGCATTTTTTTTTTTTTGCATGCTATTTCTAGGTAATCCAAATAACACCACACTGAAAATTCACTGAAGAAAAAAAATCATTATTTACTCAACATCATGTTAAACTTTGTGGAACTTAAACAGAATTGAGAAAAAAAAAAAAGCTTTGAAAAAAAGCACTCTAAATGTATTATGCCAAAATGAACGTTTTTTGGACCCAAAAAAAAGTTATTTAGGATAAAACTAAATGATTTGTTGATGACTGTTTCAGTTATTTTAATTTATTTTAGTGATAAAACAGACTATATGTTTCATTGCCACATACATGGAACTTGATAACAAGAATGTAATCCATAAAATGTTATGATCTCATGTTTGGAATCCCAATAGGATTCTATATGCAATCTTTTCCCTTACACTATTAAAAATAAAGGTTTTGGAATCAATAGTTCCACGAAGAAACATCAACTTCTATGGAACCTTCAGAATATTCAAATTTTCTTCATATTCTTAGGGGGGAAATGGTTCTTTTAAGAACTGTTCATAGAAAGGTTTTTGGGGAAACTGGTTCTTCTATTTGCATTGCTATATAAACGTTTTGGAACGATTGGGGTTCTTTTGATTAAATTCTCAAAAAAAAAACATAAATCAATCAATTCTATATGGAACCCCAACATGGGTTCCAAATATAACGCCACTGATATAATTCTTAAAAGTTCAATATTAAATAATTTCTTCTAAGAGTGCATATGGTACTATTTGGAAGTTGTATATTTTATTTATTTATTTATGTATTTATTTAAGACAAGCGCCATTGTAGGACCATGGTATTCTTGAAGTAACATACCATGATGTATCATAAATTGTAGAAAGTACCATGGTTTTACCATGTGATGATACCATCACTGTTCTACATGGTACAGCCACAGTGCCACAATGCGTTCATTACCTTGTGTTGTTTCCACATGGCGGCCAGGGGCTTCACATCATGTTTGCCGTGTTTGCCCTCCTCCAGACACTGGTAGCATACGGGGGTCTTGCAGCTGACGCAGTACATGCTGTAGTTCTCGGCTTCGTGATCCAGGCAAGTTGCCTGTTTGCGCGCGGAGGCGCCGGCCGGCTGCGCGTTCCCCGCCTGCGCTTGAGTCGGCGGCAGCAGCCGGTGCTTGGCCAGCGGTCCGCGGGAAGGGTGGCAGCGCTGCTGGCACGGAGCGCAGTAGAACACATCGCACTGCTCGCACATCACCGTGGCGTCCACCGGATTGCGGTCGCACAGCTGGCATTTGACGGAGACGGCGCGGCTCTGCTGGTAGCGGGACACGATCGCCTCCAGCAGTCGGTTGCGCTGGAATCCCCGGAGCCCCCGCTCGTCCAGGGACACGCTGCGGTGGCATAGCGGGCAGGTGATGGAGCAGTGGCGGTGGACCAGTGCCGGCGGGAACACACGCACTCCGTTGGGAGACTTCAGGCACGGCGTGTATGAACCGTACCCGCTGTCCGTCTCGCTGTACATGCTCATCTTGTCCATATCCAAATAGTCATAGTCCGAGGTGCCGGAGCATCGGTTCTGCGGAGGGGTCTCTCCCTCCGGAGTCTGCACGATGATATTCCGAGCACACGCCAGGCAGACATTATGAGAGCACGGTAAAATAATCGGCTCCTTGAAGAGAGAACCGCAAACCGGGCATTTCAGTTCTTCTTCCATCGCGTCCATAAACCCACTCGCCGTTCAATGAAATCAGAGCAGCACTACAGACGCGGACAGCTCCCGTTTACCCGCTCGGCGCATGCGCGCTTGTGGGCGTTGTAGTCACTAGGCTGATACCCGCCGCTTCAGTTGACCTCTTAAAAACTACAACTCCCTCAATTCCGCTAATTAAATGCGGCGAGAAGAATTTGTAGTATAGTCCCGTATTCAAGGGTCAAGGTTTGGGGGGGAAAAAAAGCCTAATTTGCCATTTAAAGAAGCCCCTGTGTAAACAACCCCGTCAAAGGAGGACAGGCGTTGTAATTGTGAAGGCATCCGAGAGAGCTGACCAGTAGCCTATTTTTGTGAATGGCCGTCAATAATTAGGGAAAGGAATTTTTCACTGCGAGCATCGGGCTGCTTACAGTCCATTCTGCCCACACAGTAATTACAGCACAGAATTATTGAGCACTTCACCACACATATATCACCATAACTCCACCACACCACATGTTATCTATTGACTGGTAATGGGGAATATATATATATATATATATATAATAGAAAATGTGTATTTACATATAAGCATTTATAGTATAGATTTTTTTTTCTTGAAAAACATGAAGTTCATCAAAAACATATTCCCATGCACTCACAAATAGTATAATTTTTTTAAGTTTTAGGTCCCATTTTGCATATAATTTTAATTACATAATTTAAAATATATATAGCCTATATATATATATTTACATTTACATTTAGTCATTTAGCAGACGCTTTTATCCAAAGCGACTTACAAATGAGGACAATAAAAGCAGTCAAGACTAACAAAAGAGCAACAATATATAAGTGCAAATGACAAGTCTCAGTTAGCCTAATGCAGTACACGTAGCAAGGTGTATATAAATATATATATATACACCTTCACACACACTCACTCACTCACTCACTCACTCACTCACTCACTCACACA